TATATATATATATATATATATATTATTTAAAAGTATATATTTATAAAAGTTAATCACTCATAATACATTATCAGTGTAAAATTTTTTGTACCAACAACTAATTATATATTTTAATAATATTATATTATTTATTTATTTAATCAAATAAAAATAAAATAAAATAATTTAAAAAATATGATTAATTGTGGATGTAAAAAAATTTTATACTAACAACTTATAAATGATTAACTCTATATTATTTTATACTTTTTATATCATTATCTTTCTTACATATAGTAATGAGTGAGATTTTCTTTTACCCTACCCTTATATTTTACGAACTAAACAAGGACCGAAAAATTTATATATTTTTATTAACTGATTTAAGTCTTTAGAATTTAATGAATCTTGAACAATAAACTATTATTTATTTTTATTCTTTTATTATTTTTAAATGCCCATTTTCCTTTTTAATTGATTAAACAAAATATAAAATCCTGTAAAAGTAGTAGTTAAATTTATTTTTTTATTAATTAATTTGACTAAACTTGTGCTGAAAAAGAATTTGTGTTTTATTTTAATTTAAACTTTTTATTTTAAAAAAAATAAAACAAAAAAAAATTTCTTCTTTTCTACTATCAATAATCAAAACAATAACCAAATATTTTACCATGAAACCAAACACACGTTTTCAGTTCACATGGGTATTCATGAAACCAAACACACATTAAAAATGGAAACAAGAGAACACATGGGTCACTCGAAATAATTATTTTATTTAACCCTCCTTCAAAGGTTTCACCAACTTCAGGAAAACCCACACACTTCAATAGCTTCTCTAAAACAACTCGAATGCTACGATGAAGACGGCATGAAGCTGTATTAGTTTAAGCATGGAACCTATTTTCCCTTCCCAAGAATAATGGCATCTTTTCAAGCACTTTAACAAATCATATCATCTAAGAAAACATATAATATAATAACATAATAAAGCAATCCTTTTTCCCTTGCGTTTTTCTCTTCCTTTTCACTTGCTAAAAGCCAAAGAATCCTCCTTTATCTCTTGGGGTTCTTAAATATAAAATATAAATAGTATAATATAAAGTCCTGCTTATGGGGGCAAAGTGTGAGACTTGAATTCATTCAGATTTGAACTATGCGGGTTAAGGTTAAGACCACGGTTGTTCTTCTCCTTGCAACACTTTCTCTTTTTCACTCAGCAGCTTCTCTTAATCGAAGCAGTTTTCCAGCAGATTTCTTCTTTGGAACTGCTTCTTCAGCTTACCAGGTTTTGTTCTGTCCCAACTTGTTTAAATCCTAGCATCTTCTATGTAAAAGTGTTGGATCTTATTTGCATTTTCTTTCTTTCTGGGTTTTATGTAATTGGGTTATGAAGTATGAAGGTGCAGCACATGAAGGTGGCAAGGGCCCTAGTATATGGGACACCTTCACTCATAACCACCCAGGTTTGCATCTCCTCTATCTTTCTTTTTCTTTTTGCCACATTTATTTCTTCAATAGCTCATTTTAAGTAGCAATGTATCATGGTTATTTCCCTTTCTCATAGTAATCTCATATGTTTTCAATATATTAATCTATGCATACACACTTCTAAAGAGAAAAATAAGAAGGAAAATTAAAACAAGCTTCTTTATATGGTAAACTAGCATATGTATGAGTTAAAAGTAAAATTTTGGAGAAAATACGAGGAGAGAACTTCTACAAATTAGTTTATAAATAAGCTAATTTTAGATTATGGAGAAACTTATTTCATTTTTCCTTTCTATTTTTCCTCCTGGAAGTTCTTATGGAGAAGTTTATCCAAACTACTCCATATTAGTGTTTATATTTTGTGGGTTTCATTTTGCCAGAGGGTATGTTTCATTGTTCTGTTACTACTAACTACTATTTAACCGACTAACAATATCCAGAAAGTTGAATAGGGCAAGCTTAAGAAAATAAAATAATAAAGGGTAATGCTAAAATGTCTTTTGGTTAGCATTGGAGATGTACTTCAATGACCCCGGTGTCATCGATTTGGTTGACCAAATTGATTTTGGGGGCTAATATGTGGAGAGAAGAAAACAATTTTGATTATCTCTGTTGACAATATAAGCGATGTTGCTTCTTGGAAAAGTGAGTTTCTTGGTCCTTGCTCATTTTGAAGTTGGTTTCTACAAGGTACTTTCAGATAGAACAGAGTTGGTTTATTGGATATTGAAATAAACTCGTTAGAGACATTTTTTCTTGGTTGTTCAGATAGAATAGCAGACCACAGTAATGGGGATGTTGCCATTGATTCATACCACCTCTACAAGGTACTTTCATCCTCTTAATTTGAATTTAAAGATCTAGATGAGTTTTCACTGTTTTTGAAATTTGATTTCATCTATATTGATGAAATTGTTCATACATAAAAAAAATTTCAGGGAGATGTGGCCATGATGAAGGATATTGGATTTAATGCGTACAGGTTCTCCATCGCTTGGTCCAGAATACTACCTCGTGAGAAACTCTAGTCATCCTTTAATTATCCTCAACTTAATTTTTCGATAAATAGTTTTGTTTTTTATAGGTAAATAAAAATGCTAAATTGGATCATTTGTTTGCATGATTGTAAGGGAGTTATTAACACTTTATATTGAATTATAGATGTGTTTCCATAATGCAATGAATCTTAAACCAAATTGACTTTTAGGTGGAAACCTGAAGGGAGGAATTAACAGAGAAGGCATCACATATTACAACAATCTCATCAATGAACTGATATCAAATGGTCAGCAGAAGTCAAATTCCTCTCCCTTTCTCTCTCTTGTGATACCCCACATCAAACTAAGTTAGATGTACTTTTTTTGTTTACAGGACAACAACCCTTTATAACTCTATTTCACTCTGATCTCCCTCAAGCTCTTGAAGATGAATACGGTGGTTTTCTGAGTCCCAAAATTGAGTAAGTAATACTGAAATTACAATGTTTACTAGAATAAATGGACCTGTCCTTCCCATCCACTCACAACTAATGAAGAATTGGTGCTTTGGATTTTGCAAACAGGCAAGATTTTGCAGATTATGCAGAAGTATGCTTCAGGGAATTTGGTGACAGGGTTAAGCACTGGATTACATTAAATGAGCCGGTGCTATATGGCACCCAAGGTTATGGAAGTGGTGGATCCCCACCCAATAGATGCTCCAAGTGGTTTGCTAACTGCACCGCTGGTGATTCTACTACTGAACCCTATGTGGTTACACACCACCTGATTCTTGCTCATGCTGCAGCTGTAAAAGTCTACAGGGACAAGTTCCAGGTTACTCCATTTTTATTGTGATTTTAAATACATCAGCAAACATAATTGGTTAGAGTTTAAGTCAAGAATCATGCAATATGTGGTCACTGGTCAGTACAAGATTCACTGACAGTAAATGATTTTCTAATAGGCTTCTCAGAAGGGTCAAATTGGGGTAACACTGAATTCTGCCTGGGTTGTGCCACTTTCTCAATCAAAAGAGGACAGAGAAGCTGCATATCGCGGTCTTGCTTTTATGTATGACTGGTAAGTGTCTTTGCCACATAGAAACACTCTTATTGTTTCCAGCTCTATTAATTTCCACAACAGTTTGTGAGTAGGTTTTGTTTGGGGGGATTACTCTATTTTATCCTGGGTATTTGTATCCTGATGAATCATAAAGAATTTATCCACTAGAGTCGGCCTAGTGGTGAGGGGATTGAAGTTGAGGTAGATGCATAAAGACTTCGATTTTAACATTTTTTGTTGACACAATCAGGCCAAACTTTTCTTTTTGTGTTTATTGAAGGTTCATGGAACCACTTTACTCTGGTACATATCCTGCTGTAATGGTTAACAAAGTTGGAGGTCGTTTGCCAAAGTTTACCAGAAGGGAATACTTGATGGTTAAAGGGTCCTTTGATTTTATAGGGCTAAATTATTACACCTCAACTTATGCAACTAATGCTCCTTGCCCCCGTGAAAGGCCAACTGCCTTTACCGACGCTTGCGTTAGATTTACAAGTAAGTCATTTTAAGTGAAGCTAACACACACTTTCAATTTAACTTCTATTGAATTTCCCTCATACATTTGCTTACTCATGATTCAATTTGTTGCACTTGCATCAGCTACAAGAAATGGGGTTCTCATTGGTCCAAAGGTAATTGTATATGGAGATAAGTTTTACCCAAATTCTTTTATTGCATGACAATGATTATTTGTCATTTCAATAGTACGAGTTAGCCAAGAGTTCAGTCTATCCTCCATAAGAATTTTT